AGAAAGCTCAGCAAGGGACACCTTTCTGAGTGGGGATTGAAGAGTTTTGTTGGAAAAAAAAAATGTCCAGGGGCTGCAGGAGGCAGGGAGCTGAGTGACTCAGCTCTTCTGAACCCAACCTGTGTACTTTGCCTGTTTATTCCCAGTACAGCCAGTACCGGGGGAGTCGTGTTACGCAGCAGGCGCAGTGTTTATTAACCAGCTCGGGAGCTGAGCTAAGAATAACTGTTTTCGTTTGTTTTGTTGCTAGTGCTTATTTCACTTTTTATTTTTGCTTAGCTCAGTCAGCAGCCTGAGGTGGAAACTGCACAAAAAATGGACAAGAAAGGGTTTTCCCCAGCAAGTTGCAGGAAGATAGAAACACACAGCTATTATCACCTTCCCCCCATCAATAGCCACGGCTCAAATCTAAACTCACTACCCTGAAAGCTTTGAGGGAAGCAAATTGTTCTGCCTGGAAAGTGGAGCAGCTCAGCAGCCAGCCCTGTTCCAGCTCGGGGGGCTGCAGTTATTTCAACTTCAGGGATTTTGATGCTCTGAACCAAAATCTTGATAGAGAGCAGCATTTGCTCCCTGCCTTCCCCTCCACGGTTGGTTGTTTTGGGCATTTTTGGGGAGTTTCCTCATTGATCCCTTCATCTGCTCACCTCATCCTCAGCATTTCAGCCACGGTGCAGAAAAGCCACGTATTTCCAGCGTGACTGCATGTGATTATAATTACCTTGTGTACCTATTTAGCACAGAAAAAAGTCCTTTTGACAGATGAATAGATGCAATACTTTTCATCAGCTGACTTGCCTGAAAAGCAGCGGAGTGCTGTGATTTATTCTGTTGGATGTTTTGATACTTTTTTTTAGGCTACAATGTACTTACATGTAAACCTAGGACCCGCAGAAATTTATAAAGCACTTTTTTTCCCCCCTCCCTACCCCCAGTTCAGGCACAGCTCCGGTTTGAAGCACGCCCAGCAGAAGCATTTGTTGTTGTGTAATAGTTGTGAAACGTGTTTATTGAGGTGATGTCTGTTGTCTACGGTGGGATTTGGATTGCAGTCCTTCCTCCAGGCTGCAGCTGGGAACCAAGCACCCAGAGAGGTCCTCTGGGTGAGAGGCAGTCCACTGTCACCTTCTTTCCACGACAGCTCAATAGCAGAAACCATTCAGTGGCTGCTGTTTAAACCTTCATATTCTTTTTTCTTTATTCATGCTGTATCTCTTCTGATTGGGTTTACATGCTAAAGCAAATTGAACGCTCAGTTGCATCGTCCTGTGTTTGCCTCTCAGCCTTCCTAGTGTCAGAAGTGACATCTGCTCCCAGGGAGGTGGCTCTTTGGCACTGTGTTTAAAATGCCTGCTTTAGTCTTGCAGCTGAAACTCGCCTGGTTGCAGGCTCAGTGACAGCTGCATTTCTTCTCTTTTCTTTCCAATGGCCTTTTCCTCGGGCGATGAGAAGAAAACTCAGCCTGGTTTGGAGGTGGGCGAGGGCTTTGGAAGTTGTGTCTGACTTCAGGCTTTGTTCTTTTGCGTGCAAATTAAGCCTGAGGAGAACATGTTTTCATGAGCCTGAAGAAGGAGAAGCATAGTGGATACTTTCTTCTCTTTTTGCTGGGATGCTCTAGAAGCCAGGAGGTCAAACCATTCGGGATAAGGTCTCTTCTCTGGAGAGGCACAAGGAGCTGATGGTCAACTGGTTGTCATGAGAGTGTTCATAGTATTTCCCAGCACAGCCACCCACTCTTTGTGCCTGCTGCTGCCTGGTAGGATGTGAAGAGCAGCGTCACCGCCCTTCCCGAGGCGCGTGGACAGGCACAGAGAGCAGCTGATCCTCTGAGAGGAGAAACCATAATCTCACGTCAGGCAGAGAGCCCAGACGCAGAAAAAGACAAAGGCAGGACAACTTCTCTGGGTTGGGGATGAGGAGACAGCAGAGCTTCCCAGCATCTCGTTAGCGCTCGCTGCTCCCCCGATGGCTCGTTGCGGCGCCGTCGTTACCGCTCCGAGACGTGGTGCCTGCTGCTTGTTACACAGCAGTGACACGAGCAGCTCAAGCAGAATCACACTTGTCAAATAAATGGGGAAAATATTTGAGGCTGCATCTGACATCTCCAAAAATTAAAAGGCTTCTCGCAAATGAGTCGTTAGCATGAATTAGAGGTTTTGCGGAAGGAGGGAGGGGAGCGCTGGCTGCAGAGAGGATTAGACCAGATGAGCTCCTGGAGAGGAGGGGCAGTGGAAAACCTGCCCTGGTTACCTGCCAGAGGTTGCTGCTTCCATAGCAGGAGCTGATTAAAAACCTTTAACTGCTCTTGAACCAGAGTCTTTTCTGGTGTGTCGATATAAACTACTGCAGAACAATGTTCTCTGGCTAAATACTCCACTGAGTGTGCCTTGGTGTTCTCAACACAGCAAAGACCTGGTGATGGACCTGGAGCTGTAAATTTCTATCATCTTCTTGACCCACAAAGCAGTATGAAAATTAGGTGGAAAATAACCTAAGGTACTTCCTACTCAGCTTGTGTAGTAGGAACATCGTACCTACGTGTCTGTGTGTTCCTGTGTAAGTTTTGCTCTTTAAGGATCAGTTTGAGTGTGGTCCCAAAGCAGGAATAAGAGGTATTGCAGCTGCTACTCCTATTCCTGCTTTGGGACCACACTCAAACTGATGGGATGGGATGGTTATTGGGCTGGGCTCAGTCCCCCCATCCCCTGTCATCCTATTTTGTTTTGGCTTGTTTTTTTCTGAGACTGGAAAATTCTTTAGTCAGATTGTCTCTAAACTGTAGATTCATTTACCTTGTATTACGTTTTGATCAGCAGGAGATTAGGTGAGGATTTTATGTCTAGGGATGGAAGGAAAAAAAGAGTGATGCTGAGACCTCAGCTGTCTGCTGGATGCTCTGCAAGGCATGGGATGCTGGGCAGTGTGTGGTGGAGCAGTCAGTCGTAGGAGGCTCTCAGTGATCAGATGTACTAGGTGCTCTTCCAAAGTGAGTTGTGTTCTTACTCTGAAACCATCCTGCTTGAAGGGGCTGAAGAGGCTGAGCTGTGGGTGAGGTCTGGACTCTGCTGTAGCACCCAGTCTGGGAGGGGGGAAGTTAATGCATGCTACACAGGCTGGATCATGGGGCCAAGGCCAGTGGGATGGGGTTCAGCATGGCCAAGGGCTGGGTCCTGCCCTTAGGTCTCAACAGCCCCCTGCAGCTCCAGGCTGGGGCAGAGTGGCTGGAAAGTGCCCATGGGAAAAGACCTGGGGGGTTGTTTGACAGACAGCTGAAGAAGGTGGCCAAGAAGGCCACCAGCATCCTGGCTTGGATCAGCACCAGTGTGGCCAGCAGGACTAGGGATCATCCTCCTGGACTTGGCACTGGGGAGACTGCTTCTCTAATCCTGGGGTCAGTGTTGGGTCCTTCACTCCAAGAAGGACCTTGAGGGGCTAGAGTGTGGCTGGAGAAGGGCAATGAAGCTGTGGAAGGGTCTAGAGCCCAAGTGTGGGGAGGAGCAGCTGAGGGAGCTGGGGGGGCTGAGCCTGGAGCAAAGGAGGCTCAGGGGAGACCTTCTGGCTCTCCACAGCTCCTGACAGGAGCCTGGAGCCAGGTGGGGGTCGGGCTCTGCTCCCAAGGAACAAGGGACAGGACAAGAGGAAACAGCCTCAAGTTGTGCCAGGGGTGGTTTAGGTTGGGCATGAAGAGAAACATCTTCCCTACAAGGTTTGTCCAGGTCTGTGCCAGGCTGCCCGGGGCAGTGGTGGAGTCCCCACCCCTGGAGGAGTTTCCAGGCCATGGAGATGTGGTGCTGAGGGACATATTTTAATGGTAACCTGGCAGTACTGGACTTGAAGATCTTAAAGGTCTTTCTTAACCTAAAGGATTCTATAATTCTCTTATTCTTTACCCAGTGTCCTACAATTGTGGCCGTTTTGTAAGAAAAACTCTTCTTAAATTGCTGGATGACCTCTCTTGGTAGCTAAAGTTTTGTAAGTTTCTTTTTTCTTTAATACAGACAGGTTTGGTCAACCAACTATAACTGAGTTTTATTGTTAAAAAAACTTAATTATTCACATCAAATACAGCACGATTCAAATCAAAACTCCCCTGAAATGTGCCCAAGGGCTGCTGCTGAAGTGGAACCTGTTCTTCCTGTACCACGTTATGGGCTGAAACAGTTCCTTTTATTCCTTAGACCCACTCTTCAATTTTAATGCAAGGGCCATGAAATTCAAAGATGAGAAAAGATTCTTCAGCAGGGCTGGCAGTGTGAATATATCACTATTCTGTGTACAAAGAGATACTGCAGTGCTTTTAAACAGATCCTCTCATAATCTGTCCAGTGAGCCCAAAGACCTTCTCCCAGAGGAGACCCAAGACCTGATGAGCTCCCTTATTCATCAGGTAGATTTGGTGATACGTAGGCAGAAGGTTAACAGGGACTGTTAATACTGCTGATAACCAGAGCTGCTGCCTCAAGGGGTAGAGAGGGACTGGGGGAGGAGCTGAAGAACTGGAGAAGTGGCTTGTGATGGAGTCCTGTAGGAGCTACAAGGCAGCGTGTAGAGTTGGGGCTAATGCCTTCAGAAAGCACAGACTGTCACGGGCTAGTGGCAGGTTTTTATGTCCTCCCAAAAAGAAATGTTGGGGATTTTAAAAAAAAAAAAAAAGTTATAATTTTTGGTTCAAAATAAAAGGAATAATGTGCTCTGAAAAGTTTTCCTTGGGAGGAGGTTCAGAGGAGGCTTTTGGAAAGTACGTGGACAGGCATCAGGCAGGGCAGGGGTTTGCTGGAATGGTGTCTCATGGACGTGTCTCTCTGTTGTGTTTTCTACTGAGCCATTTGGGTAACGTTGAGAAATCTGTTGGGTCCTTGAAGGAGACGGTTTCTCCATCACAATCACTCGTGTCCTCTTCATCTCATCATCGATCAGCAGCCCATCTGATAACGTGTTCCATTCTTATCTTTTGGGATGAATCACTCATTTATTAATTTCCTTTCCTTGCTCCCTGGCAGGCTCCTTATCCCTCAGGACAGAATGCAGCTCCGACCACGTTGGTGTACCCTCAAGCCCCTCAAACAATGAACACCCAGCCTCAGACCCGCTCGCCGGTAAGGGAGCCCACGCTGGCGTTGTCTTACCTTCTTCCTTCCTCATTTGGGTGTTTCTGTGTGTGTGTGTGTGTGTGTGGATAGCCCTTGGCTGGTTCTCTGGGAAGTGTGTCTTACTGAACTGGAAGCACGTTCCAAATGGCAAATCTTGCTGGAATTTTTCCAAGGTTGTCCTGGTAGGTGAATGTTCCTTTGAAAGTGGTTTATCAGAAAAGAAGTGATGGAGGGGTTCTCATCTACGTTCAAATAACACAATTTGTTTTTAGGGTAGTTGCTTTCAGGCTCACTTCATTTTAGAGTTTAGATTCATTGCCAGAATCTTTCTCTTTTCTTAATTTTTTTTTTTCCTTTTGAGGAAGTGTTTAAGGTGACAGACCAAAGCTCAGCAAACAAAAGCTATTCTCTGCAGCAGCAGCACTCAGTCTCAGTGGCCTCTGGGCATTACTTCCCAATCAGTGTCACTGGATCAGTTCTCACCATTTGCTGCCTGGCACCCTGTAGGTGCTCACACTTCTAATGTAGAGCTTCTGAGTACCCAGATCTTTTTGTGGTAAACCCTTTTTTCATCCAACTTCAGGTTTGGTTGTCCTCTGTAATTCTTTTTTTTTTTTTTGTGCATGTATTGTAATACTGTTCTTTGGTTCCCCAAACCAGGCTCTTCTGGGGGAGTCTCTGCTTGTAGTGTAGTTCCACATGATGCTAGGAGACACAGATGCTTAGCCCAGCTTCTGGAGGCATGGCAGCCCACTGTCAGGATGTCTCAGGCCTCAGTTAGCCAAGGGAGCAGCAATCCCTTGCAAATCTGCGTCGTAACCCTTCGAGGTGACCTCTAAAACCACCACACCCTTCCCAGCACTCTTCTCTTTTTAGAGTAAGATGAACGCTGCTGAAGCGTGGCCACTGAAAGCCTCCAAGACAGAAGTCTTCTGTTTGTCCACATAACAGGTAGATATATATCTGTATGTGTCCAGGGCAAGCTTTCCCCCCACGTCCAGCTGCAGCGACGTGCTTGCCCCGCTTCTGGAGGTTTCACCTCCAGGGGATTCACAGGAGGGTTAGTTCTGAGACTCATTAACCTCTGTGCTGGTGAACAAGCCAATTAACATCAGTTTGATGAAGTTTCTGTGATGTGGACAGCTGCAAATTTGTAACCAGATTCCCCCCTACCTCCTTAGTCCCCCTCCCAGTTCTGATCAGTAACGCAGGATACTGATGGTAAAACCCCCTCTTTTCTCAGTAAGTATAATCATCTTCTTTATCTTTAATTGTTGAAAAAGCACAAATAAATTTGATATGGTTAGAACTGGAGCAAAAACCTGACTGAAGAGCTGCATCTCTAAACCAGTTTTTTTGACAGCCCAGCAGAACAGTGCCAATACATTGCACAGACAACTGGAAGAGGAGGAAGGTTTTGGAACAGAGTCCGGTTTACAGGTCCCTGGCTGGAAGAGGCTGGATAAAATACTGCATTGTAAGCAATATAACAAACTGTACTCCTTCTTGCAGGCAATTGTGCCCATGGCACTGTTTTGATTTCTTCCTTTCTTTCTTTATTATTATTATTTATTTTTTACCACATCTTTTTTTGTTGGCTGATCTACAGAAATGCACTGATTTTGCTTCTTTGCTGAGAGCATGAGCTCCTGGGGCAGTTTCTGCCAGGTGAGGTGGTGACACGAGGTCCAGAGCTGCACTTGGGAGGGCCTGACCTGGTGTAGGACAGAGACCGGCGGCCGCTTGGGGTTTGCCACTCAACAGATAACACCCACAGGAAATTTGGCTGGAAAACCTGTCAAATTGTAAGGGTTTGGCCCTGTTATTGAGGAGATACTGAGGAAGAGTTTGTCTGCAGTTGTCAGCCATTTTTCTGTTTGTTTTTGTTTTTTTTTTTAAACTCTCCTGTGTGCCGTTTCCACCATCTGCTCTGCTAGTGACCATTTCCACCCCCATGACTAAAAGCTGCACCCATAACATCTCATCCCACCTCCTCACCCCAAAACAAATGCAAGACTAGCCCGGTCCTGAACGACACTTGCATTTTGTTCTGGGCTTGATTTACTTTGGGTTTAATTATTATTATTTTTTTTAATTTCTTTTTTAACTGTCTTCTGTTTTTTTGGTGGTGAGGGGAGGGTGAGGAGGGGGATGAGGAAGGGGGCAGGATCTTTGCCATCCCGAGGCTTCGCAGTGGGCAGATGAGCTGCTGCCCTAACGAGGGTGATCCAAACCCAGCTTCCTCCAGCAGCTCCATCCTGTTCCTGCATCCCAGGGCCATTGGCAATTGCACACTTCAGGCTTTTCTGCTCCCCCCAGGACAGGAGCCTTTGCAATCCAACTGGCTTCACGTTTCCTCCCCGTTGGCATCACCGTGCCACTCCAAGAGCAGGGATTTCACCCTGCAGCTCCAGCTGGGGGAAGGAAAAGGAAATCTGAGTCGTTCAGCACGACTGGAAACTATCCATCAGCTCTTGCCCCAAGCACCAGGTGGTTTTAACACAAACTGCCCAATTCCAGGTCTGCTAAACACCCCCCTGTGGTTGGAGAGGGTGTGTGAGTGATGCCAAAGCATTTCTTTCCTGAGAGGATGGAGGTGTGGCAGCTCCACAGCAGCAGACAGAGACCATGCCCTGCTGTGCCCAGAGCAGTGAGCGGGACCATAACGACTGGGGGGCAGAAGTGTTGGACCTGGGTTTTATAAAGAAGTTTTCCTTTCAATCTACTGCCTTCATGGGACAGAGGAAAAACAACCCAAATGCCTATTTTAATCCGAGCCAGCAGTGACTACAGTTTGTTCTGTTGCTTACAGCTACTAATAGGATTAAATCGTATCAACCTGAATTATTTTTTTAAAAAAATTAAAATTAAAAAAATCAATAGCCAGTGGTGACCAGTGCAAAACAGATCAGGGTATTTTTCACTAACTTTGAGGTTTAATTTTGTTTCTTTTTTCTTTTTTTTTTTTTTTTCTGTAACACATATTACTTTTCACTGCAGAATATACTTTAGCTTCTTGAGATGTAAGCTTCCAGCTCTTGTTTTAAACACAGTGAGAATGCATCTTTTCTGTGGAACAGTGATAAGAGAGATACTTCAGCCCTGAAATAAAGCAGTGCAAGGTTTTTACACCCCATCATTTCTCTTTCTGATGAGTTTTTTTCATTGGTATATGACATGGAGTGTGTAGCCCTACCAGAAAGGCTCGTGTCAGGCCTTCCAGTGTAAGCTTTATTCCCTTCTCTCAATCACAAGGCATTGGAACTGTTTTTGAGGAGTTCTTCCTGAAAAAAAATAAGGACTTGAAGTGCATTCACCTCCTGAGACTCATCCAGGTGCCTTTTTCTCATCGCTGTGGGACCAGCAGAGCCACTGTCCTCCTCACACCCTGAGCCTTGGGAGGATGCTGCAGCTCTTTGAGTGCTTCTGTCCTGACGTTGATATTAAAATGGAAGTTTTAGCCTGTTAGTCTTACAAGATGATCATGCTTTACTTTTTTTTTTTAATGTAAGGCTTAGGGAGGATTTTCAAGGGTGGGAAAACTCTTTGGTGCGTCAGCGCAGGTTGTTCTTTATCAGCTCTTGTACTAGAACTAGTCCCTGTGTGCCTGTTTTCTCCTTTCTGAAGGTCTTATGACTTTTCATCCCGAGTGTCATGATGAGGTGAAGGTAGAAGGAATATATAAACACTGGTATTAGCAGAATAGTTCTTGGAAATTTTGAATAGAGGCGATTAAATTGTTCATAGAAGAGAAAATAGCTGGACCAGTGAATATTTATGTCTCATGTTGGATGGCATTAACACAGCTGGGGAGGTAGGACTGCAAGTGAACCCTCGTCCACTTTTACTTACTGAAGAAACATCTCATTAAGAAAATCAGTAATTAGTAGCCAGCTACTGAGCCCCTGTAGTGGGACTTAGCAGAGGTGGATGGTGCAGTGCAGCAAGGCGCTGAGCCAGCCCAGAGAGCAAAGGGTGGGTAAAAAGCCACCCCAGGACCTAGTCCCATTTGCTCCATTTAATTATCAGAGCTATTATCAATAGATTTGTCTGCTCTCGTCGTGGAGCTCTGCTCATTGCACTGAGAATTAAGGGTTTAAATACCTAACTTGGCTTCTGGAAGAGAATACCGTGTCATCTTTATTTCTATTTTCCATTTCTTGCATTCATTTTTATTTCTCTTTTAACAATCAGTTATTTCTTGGAAAATGCTTTTAATGTTTACTGAGGATGTTAAATTCTGATGACTTTGCTCCGTGAGAAACCCAAGGGGGTGGGAAGGGCTTCAGTAACCTGAGCTCAGGGCTGGGCCCCAGGACCTCCCGAGCTCCTGATGCCTTCACCCCCCTGGGGACATCGTGGGGTAACCTGCCTCCTTCCCTTTCACACAGGGGGGACAAACCCAGCTCATTAAGGAGGGTTGTGTTGTGATCCTTATGGGAAAAGGAAAAAAAAAAAAAAAGCTGAAAAGGCAATTGCAGGGTGTGTGCTTGCAAAGACCTGCTGCCCTTTGCCTTGGGGGGTGGCCCCGTGGCCCCCACGCCAGCAGGACACTGTCTGTGCCTCCCTGGCCCTTACCTGCCCTCAGCCAGCACTCTCCATCCTCTGCTCCCACCAAATAGTTGGAGTCCAGCTGCTTGAACCATTTACCTCCACCTTAAACAGTTCAGAATCTCCACAGCTGCTTGTTTTCAGTTGGGTATTTTTGGGTTTATTGTTTGGGTTTTTGTTTTCCCAGGCAGGATAAAGAATGCCTGCATTCAGAAACTCCAGTGCCTTCAAAACAACTGGCAGCTTTGGCTGTTTGTCTCCTGGCCCTCAAGCAGCATCCATCCCCCCTTAGACCTCAGTACCTGTCTGTCCCTGTCCTGCAGCAAAGCTTTCGACCGTTTTGTGGTTGTTGTTCTGTTCTGTTTTGGCTTGGTTTATTGTTTTGTTTTGTTTTTTTTTTTTCTCTTGTGGGTTTATTTTGCATAGAGTGTGACGTTTTGGTTTCATTGTGGTGTTTCTGACTCTTTGTGCCTTTCCTTTTGTGTTTGTTTCTCCCGCCTTTCCTCAGTTTGCAGCGGGGCCTCGACCTGCCCATCACCAGGTACAGTACCCTGCCCCTTCGTTATCACCCTAAACTAATTGCCTGGGGAGGGTGGGTGGTTGGAGGTGATTCACTCACTAACTCACAACCTTTGGAAACAACCCCCGTTAGTAGCTACTAGCACGTGCCTAACCCCACTAACCAGCTGCCTGCAACCCAGAGTAACACTGTTAGTTATCAGTTGGTGTCACCACACTCATTAACTGTCCCACTTAATGCTGGTTCTGTAGGAGAGAAGAGCTTGTAGAGATGGTGGTCAGGTATTCCTGAGATTTTCTTACCTTTTCAAGCTGCTAGAAACTGTGCTGAATGTTTCCCAAACTAGTTGCTGGGTTAAGTTGTCTGAGCTGGAGATGTCAAGAAGAACTTGGCGTTCACATCCCTGAGAGAATCCTGCCTGTCAAACTCAGAGCAGGGCAGATGACTCTCCAGTTCATGTGTTTCTTGTGTGATACACCTGGTTTTCTGTTGTCATTACATTGCTTAATGTTTTTACCCTGTGAAAGCCAAACGTTTCAGAATCTTTGCAGTATTCCTCTTGTATGACTTCGACTTTGTAAGGAGCCATTTAATTAAGAAGAATTCAAACTTAGGGATAGCTCTGGCTCATGAAACTCATGGGCAGCATTTGTTAGGGGTGCAGAAATAACCAGGGGACCTCGTCAGCATCAGGATGGGTAGAATCAGGGAATTGTTTTGGTTGGAAGAGACTTTCAAGATCTTGAAGTGCAATCGTTAACCTGGCACTGTCAGGTCAAACCATGTCCCTCACACCACATCTCCAGGGCTTGGAAACCCCTCCAGGGGTGGGGACTCCACCACTGCCCTGGGCAGCCTGGCACAGCCCTGGGCAAACCTGCTGGGGAAGAAATTCTTCCTCATGTCTAACCTAAACCTCCCCTGGTGCACCTGCACAGCTCCCTTCTGTCCTAGTCAAGGTGTCTGAAGTTGTCTTTTCTGTCAGCTCCTACATTCATCTTTGCCCAATCCCTTTTCCCCTGGGCACTGATTTTACTACTTCGTGTAGCTTTTGAGGGGATGGAGGTGGGAGCAATGGGTGGAATAGAGGAAGAGAGGCATGGCAAGTGCAAGAAAGCTCCCTCAGATCGAGCTGTTTCCATGTCAGACTTGGCTTGGAAGGAACAGGTTGTTTCCACTGAGTTAACAGAGGAAAAAAACCTAAACCCATTAACTCTGGAGATGCTGGGACAAGGGCTTAAGTCATGGGAGGTTTGTTCCAGGAGAATTATTTTGTTCTCACTTCATTCTGTTAGTCTGAGCAGTTTAATACTGTAGAGACAAGCACTTTTGGGAAAGTTCTGTCTGAGAGGAGCAGGTAAGTG